AGAACATGCCGAGGGTGGCTGGACCTTGGCATTTTTGCCACAGGTGGGCAGGCACATCCCTTCTGCCTCCGCACATGTACTCGGGATGCGCAGTTAACTGGGGCAGCCAGCTCATCTAGCCTGGGGCAGAGCAGGGCCCGCAAGAATCACTCCTTGTTTGAAGTTGGGGTATTGGGGAAGCTGGACTTCTGGATATTCACAGGATCTTCTTTTGATGGCCCTCCTGTTCACTGTCACTTGGTATCTGTGAGGGAATGCTCACAGTGGGCACCCCATTAGAGAGTTTGGGAACTTCTGTGTAGATTCAGCTCCCCAAATTTCCTAGTGTCATCCCATCCCCCACAGTTGGCTCTTCTGTCTCCCCTCCCCCTCCTCTGCCCACCCTGTTCCATTCTCTCCCCTTGAGTCTGGAGTGCTAAGCCCTCTGGGGACAGGGAGTCCCTTGGGGACAAAAGAAGAGGATATGGGAGGATTTCCTCTTCTTTCAGGTACACTTCTTGAGGTTTCTTCCTGGCTCTGGGCTTCACATCTGATTTCTTCATCCAGCCCTTACAACATATTTCTCATAGTCTTTGAGGGGCCAACCACTATCAATTTCAGGCCTTCATAGATGAGGATGTGTTGATCTGTTTTGTTCTCAGAGATCAAGAGTTTCTGTTACAGAGCCACTGTTATTCAGATCCTGGCAGGGGGCAGCACAGGATAGCTGGTGCTAGTCTTGGGCTCAGAGCCATCCTTTCATGTATAGGCCCCGTGTTCTTGGGCCTGGTATCGAACTTGTGTGAACTGACTTCAGTTTTCTGCTCTGACCATGAAGCTGGCTGTAAAAATTGAATGAATATATGAACACAACAGGGCCATAAAACAAGGAATAGTTATTACTATTGCATAGTGGCCTCTGTGTCTATAGAATGATATGTAAATCAGCCAACAAACATAATTTGGTATCTACTGTTCAGCTAGCTCTGTGGAGGATTATAAAACAGAATTCTTGGCATCTGTGTGGGGAAGCAGCTAACAGGTGTGAAGTAATTAGGAACCAGGGACAACACGCAGTTTCCAAATGCTTTGCTGCAGACTGAATTAAGAGGGTTAAATGATGGCAGGAAATTCAGGGACTGGAGTGATAAGGGTAAGCTGCCACGATGAGGGGAAGCGAGGACAGGCACTGTCCCACGGGAGAGCCCAGGGCGGGGCTGCTTGGTTCCAGGGTCTAGAATTCTTGTGCTGGAACCTGGCTGACAACTTTGCCACATAATGAGCTCCCGCCCATGTATGTCTGCTTGTTTTGAGATTTTTGAGGAAGTTCTTATTTCTTGGCTTGTTTTCTTCGTGCTGCGTAGAATATGCCGGGATTTGCTTCTTTCTAATTTTATGCTTAATGAAACAAGATGAAGGAATTATAAGGCTCGAGTGAGAGCTGAGTCCCATAGAAGGCTTCTAGGATGCTGAGGTTTCCTGTTTGCTTCTTAGGCATTAGGACTGGAGGAAACAGGCGCACCTGACCTTTGCTTTGGACTGAGGAGGAAACTGGCTTAAGAAGCCAAGTGATAGATCGAGGGTCAGCCAGAGTTCCTGTCGCCACACTTGTTCCCACGGGGGTTAGCAATGGGAAGGTGAGATGCCTGAGAAATGGGCACAAATTGCTTCCATCATCTGCTTCATGGGGCTCTTCTGGGTGCATGAAGAGTGTCCTGTGTAGTCGGAGGGTGCTGTGGGGTGAAGGAGCCTTCTGTTTCTGGCCTGACTCTGTGGTCACTCTGTCTGCCCCCGGGTACCACACATCTGCCCACCCATATTCTCTGTACCCTTAAAGCCCCAGCCCTTGTCACTTCCTGTCTTGGAAGCTGGTGCTGTTTTACTGGCCAGCCTTGATCTCTCGGAATGGCACAAAAACAGGTGCTATAACACAGGCAGTACATAGTGCAATTCATTTCAGGGCCACAGTTCTTCAAACTATTTTTATTAAAATTAGTAGTTAGAAAGGAGTTGCCAGATATAGAGCATTTCCCTATTTTAGTACCATTTCTATGCAGACTTGAAAAGTAACCATCATCATTTAAATAAGTTACAATGTTATGATCTTAGTAAAGCTTAATTTTAGGTAAGTTATCTGGTTTTAAATTGAGAAAGATTTAAAATATGCAAGCATTTAATAACTTATCTTTTTATCTTTTTTTGAATGCCTCATTTCATTAGAAGTGTAACTTTTCCAAAGCTTGGAGTCATATATTTTCATTTCTTTAAATAACTAAATTTGAAAGTAATAGATACATCAAAGGAAAGTGTCTATACATGCTCATGTGTTCATTGGCAAGGTATGTATGGTTCTGTTAATGCCTGGAACTTGTTTTAGAACAAAAGTATTCACACATAAACTTATAGAGAATTCTCACATGTTAGATATATGTTAATGATCTTACTGTTAAGCGTTGCTGTTTGCCTTTGGACATTTCAGATTGTACAAAAATCACATAGGGAATTTGTATAAAATGTTTATTTATTACTGAGTTCACATTAGAATTCTTTTGGGCTTTTGGACCTTATTTTGAGAAACAGTGTGTTCAAGGTATTCTTTTATGCTCCACTTAAATAGTAGATTGTATATTTACAGTATAATATCTTAGGCTGCTGAAATCAATTCTACTATGTATTTCAGGTGTTATCTTATTAAATAAAAAAGCTTAATTAAGGAGATAAAATCATAATGTGTGTTTTCTGCAGATTTGTTCAAAGTTGTTGTTATTTTCTTGGATATCCCTGATGACTACATAAACTTGGGTCCTAATGTATAGGTAATGTAGTTTGGAAGAAACAAGCATAGTTAAGGTATTCTACTTAAATGGCTGATTATTTTCCTGTATAGGAACGAAGAAGAAAAAGTATTAGGCATCTGTCTCCTTTCACCAATGGAATGCATTAACGAATTTGGCTAATAAGCAATTGTCTCATCGTTATTTAAGACATATCATAAACTGTAACTTTATCAACAAAAAATTCCAGTATTCTCTAGCATATACTATAAGAATCAAGTATAACATCTAAATGAAACTGCAAAAAGGAAATTAAAATTAACTTCTAGACAATTATGATATTGTTAATAGAATTCAAACTGGTAACAAGATTTCCTATGCATTCAATAGCAATGTAAACAATGCTTCGCTGAAAGATGAGGACCAGACTCATTCGTCCTACATGCAAAGGTGATTGATATACTCAAACCCTGCAAATTCATGTCCATCCATCTTCCTCACAACATCATTGTCATCTGGACTGAGCTAGACAGGTTAATTAGTAAACTCAGGATTAAAGTTATTAAGTTAGTAAACTCAGGATCAAAGTTGTTCAAACTGAATTCCACTTTGTTTATGTAATCTGGCCTCATAGATTTCTGGCTCTTCCCCAAAGTAAAAATGACTGTGAAAAGTAAATGTTTTGAGTGATTTGGAATATTGAGGCAAACACTGCAGTGCAACTAATACATTCAGGAACAAGGTCTTCCAGACCTACTTCACAAAGTGGCAAGAATAAAGGGATAATGTTTGAAGCAAGGAGGAGTACTCAGCAAGGATTAATGACAATATGTCTTTTGGTTTGCGTTTGTTTTTGAGACAAGGGGTTGCCATGTAGTCCACGCTGAGCTGGAACTTGTGGCAGTCCTACCTCCGTCTCCTAAGTGCTGAGGTTACAGGCATCTGCAACCCCATCCAGCATCCAATGTGTCTTTTGTTGTAGTAAGCGTTTAAACATTTACACCCCCCCCCCGTATTTTTCAATTATATCTGTACAGCAAATGGTCAGTTAATAGTTGTTGCATAAGGCTGGGTGTGGTGTTCACAGATCATCACAGCACTCTGGAGGCTGAGGCAGGAGGACTGCTGTGAGTTCGAGGCTAACCAGCATGGCAAAATGAATTCAAGACTAGGTTGAACTGCATAGTGAAATAAATGCCTATTTAGGAAGTGTTTGTTTCATAGGGTAGTCTCCATCTTGTGGCCTTTTGGAATATTGTACATTCATTTATATTTTTTGAAAATAGTTTTCTCCAAAATATTGATGTTCCAGTGCTATTTTCCAAATTTGAATCAGAGAGTATTTTTACTATTTATTTATACCAAATCAAGGGCTTTTGTACTGAGCTATTCCTATGCTTTAAAAATCTTTTTGCTCTTATTCTTATTGGTCTAATTTAGAGGTACATATTGATCATGATGATCATACAGAATTTGTACCTATACATCATTCCTCTCTGTAACTCCTTATTCCAATTCTCCTCCCTCCCAAGCTCTCTTCTCTTTTTTATTCACAAAACTTAACCGTCATTTTATCCATCTTTTCTTTTTTCCTTTTCTTTTCCCTTTTAAAAAAATTTCGACACAGTCTCCCTAAATTCTCCAGGTGGATTCGAATTTTCAATCCTCCCATCTTAGTCTTCAAAGAGTACTGGGATTACAGGCCTAGGCCACCAAGTCTGGTTTAGAGTGATTTATTTGACTACTGACCTTTTTATTCATCTAGCGCTTTAGAGCCCTGCCTGACCTCATCAGGCGACCTTGTCACCTACTTAATCGGCTTGGTGGAATGTCCACAATTTGTTACTTCTACTTTGTCAAAAGGTAGACCACAGAACAGTGAATAAGCTCTTGGCCTACAATGACCCTTCAGACACAGTTAAATTCCCTTCCTTGCAGCATTCATGCAACTTTCTAAAGGTTATGTCACCTGTGGATTCCCTACTTCCAATCACGTATTCCTGGCGGCTGGTGGCTAAAACAGCAATCGTGCACAACTAGTCCTTGCCTTACCATCGTACACTAGAAAACAAAGGAAATTTATTCTGTGTTACAAATCCCGTTTTCTCGTATACGGTTATACACATGCAACCTGGAATACAATCCACTTCTTTTGACCAGAAACGGACAAAAAGAGAAGAAACACTAAGGGCCGCTCTGGTTATGGATGTGGATCCTGATGTTTTTCTCCTTCCACCGAGGCCCGGCTTCACTGTCATATTCACCAGGGCATAGGCTGGAACCCGGAAGTCTGGCCCCTACACGCGCCGCTCTGCCCTGTCTGCACTCTATGATCTTCATCAGGTTACTCTTGCCTCGGAGAACTCCATGGTTCCGGGGCGGGCTGGGAGGACCGAATTTGAAGTGCGGCGGGAAGTTGGTGGTGACATCTGTCACTAGGCCAGAGTTCTCCCAAGTCGGAGGGCGCCGGGACTATGTTTTGCCCTAGACAACCGACAAGGGCTTGCAATGAATGTTCCGCGCCGCGGTGGGAATCGGCGGCATTCAGCGTCGGACTCGGACTGGTTCCCGGGAAGCGGCAGTGACAGCGGTGTCAGCCCGAGGCGCCCCTGGGGGCCGGTGCTGAGTCCGCCCCCGGGCCTGGGCCGCAGCCTGAAGGCCGCAGGTGCAGGTGCTTCCTGGGGCGCCGTGCTCGCCTGCGTGCCGGGCCGAGCCGTGGCTCTGTGCTCCTTGTCTGTGACTGGAGCGTGGCGCCCCCCTGCGGGCCGCCCGCGGGTCAGCCTTAGGCGTGTTTTCGGTGACCGCGCGTGGTGGTAGTTTAGCTAGCATCTGCGTTCTTCGGGTTTAGTTTTTGTTCTTTTCGAGACAGCGTCTCTTCTGTAAGTCAGGCTCGTGTAATTTCGTGGCTCAGGCGAGCCCGGAGCATCGCGCTTCACCCTCTGGAGTAGTGGATTCCAGGCGGGCTACCGGCCTGGTGCTCGGATCCTTAGGGAAAAGGCTTTCTGCCTGAAGCGGGTTTTCCCCTGATAGTGCCAGGGCGCCGGCTGGTCAGGATCCTAAGGTTTTCTCAGATTGGTCGCCAGTAAGATTAAATTTCCGTGAGAGATAGTCTGAGTTTTGACGTAGGGGTGTTTAGCCCAACTTTAGTTGCTTTGGGGCCAGGTCTTTATTTAGTGCAGCCATGCAGCTACTGAGATAGAGACCGCCCTACTGCTTCCCTATCTCCCACCGGAAACCTCCATCCCTAATATCCCCAGGCTCTTGGAATTCCCAAGTGCCTTGCATTGGGTTGTTTGGGGGCTTTAAAGAAGTTTAAAATAGTGTATGGGAGCAGGGCCTGGTAGTGCAGGCCGGTAACCACAGCACTTGGGAGGCTGAGGCAGAAAGATTACCCCGGAGTTCCAGGGCTGCCTGGACTCATCGGAAGTTTAAGGCCTGGCTGTATTCCAGGCCAATTGCCTGTCTCAAGAAAAAATAATTCTATCCAATATTTTAGTATTACCTTAGTATACAAAGACCATTTCCCAAGAGCTTCGTGCGTGCAGAGTGAGCTTTACATAGCTTCATTCTTACAGCAATTCTAACACACAGTGCAGGGCTAACTACCCAAGTTATATGTCTGAACTAAATTAAACCATTGTTTCTTTTTTCATTTAAGGACTCTGCAAGCAAACAGTTCCTGATGACCAAATAGACAAGCTGTTATTGGCAAATTGGGGACTTCCTAAAGCAGTTCAGCAGAAATATCACAGTTTTGGTGTAAAACAGATGTTCGAATGGCAGGCAGAATGCCTTCTGCTTGGACAGGTCTTGGAAGGAAAGAATTTAGTTTATTCAGGTACTCAGTGTATGCACACTAATTGTCTACTATTTTAAAGATGTTATCTGTGTAAATGATAATTCTGTTGAATTAGTTGAGGGTTTTTTTATGGTGGATGAGACAAGACTTTATCAATAAAGTCTTCAGATATCCATTAGCATTGTAGAGTCATCATCTGCTTATTTATTTATTTGTCTTTTTGAGAAAGGGTTTCACTCTGCAGTTTAGACTCACTTTGTGCCCTAAGGTGGCCTGGAGCTCACAGTGTTTCTCCTGCCTTAGCCTTCTAGAGTGCTGGGAATGCAGACCTGAGCCACCACATCTGGCCTACATCTGCATCTTCAAATTAGGAATATTGCACTCTGAGGCTGAGGTGGGAGGGAAAGCAAGGATTTTTATAATTTATAAAGTAAGCAGTTCTGCCTGCTCTGCAGGCGTGTGTCTCACAGTGTGTGTGATGGAATATGTGAATTTGCTGTTTTCCCATTTGATCTCAGTTGCTTTCAGGGTGTGAATATTATGCACTATATGTTTATAAATTGACTGGTTGGAGCAACAAATATATGTTTTATAGAAGATTAATGTGAGTGTTCTAGGAAAACTTTGATATACACAATTTTTGGTCTCTGTTTGCTACACTGGGTTTAGACTAGTCATTTGTTAAGATGCAATTTCTTTGTTTCAGTGTTTTCTGAAATTGTGAGTCACCAGGATTTTTTTTCTATAATTACAAAAAAGAATTAGAGTGAACGTGGCACCAGTCATAATTCAGTCTGTGGAGTTAGACTGGCATTGAATTTGAAAGTCTTATCACTTACTGCTTATATAACTTTGCAAATTATGAAGTGTAAATTGGGCGAGGAAAACACTGGCAGTATTTAGGATTCCATTATGTCTTATGTATGAGAGGTCAGAACAGTTTTTGTCACACAGGAAGGCTGTACTCCTAAATGCTGACCTTAGTCGCTGTGGTCGAATGCAGTCACAAATCAGAACTTGGGTATCACTCATATCTCTGGCCCTGAGTTCACAGAAGTACCCACCAAGTCCTGTGTCTGCTTCTCTGAAATCTCTTGATTGTGAATACTTTTGGCTACCTTTTGTTCTTATGTCCATAGCTGGGTGCAGCATTTAATCATTTTTCTTTTTAGATTAGGCAGTAGTCTCATAACTGGTTTATCTTTTCCCTCTGTGTTTCCTCTACTCTCTCAGCCAAAGTGCCTTATAAAAGTACCAATCTGATCTTGTCACTCTCTTTTGAACAACTCATCAATCATTCTCTGTTGTTTTTAGGATAGTACAGGCAACTACTTTCCTAGTAGGATTCTAAAACTTCCTCACATGCCTTTCTCATGTCTTCTACCACTCCTGGAATATTTTATATCCAGGCTTAGTAAATTCTTTACTGTCATCTGAGTGGTCCGGGATATCCTCTGGACTTCTGTGTGTGCTTTGCATTTTTTCCTCTTCCCTTTTACCTTTCCTGTCATAAGTTCTATTTCTTTTCTACAAGCTTCCTTACAGCTGCCCTTCTTCAGTTTCTATCATATTTCCGATCACAATATGTTAAAGTTGTTTATCCTCCTCACAGCAGGATTTTAATCATTCCGTAAATGAAAGAGTCTTTTTTACTTTGGCAGGGGAGATTGTTAGGTATAAGCTAGATACTCAATAATATTGGTTCATTTATTGCTGATAAAAAGATTTTTTTTTTTTTTTTTTTTTTTTTTTACTCTTGATGAGGAAGTATTTTAGAAAGCTGGTTTAAAGTCACAGGTCTTTCAGAGTGTAAAGCTTTCAAATGCTAGTTGGGACCTTAGTGATAGTATAACTGTAAGCTCTGCAATACTGAATATGTATGAAACATTTATTAATGCAGAGTACCAGATATTACTTGTTTTAAATTTAACTGTGTTTATCATTTTTTTGTGTGTGTGGTGCTGGTATTTAAACCCAGGGCTTTGTGTATGCTACGTAAGTGCTCTACCCCTGAGCTACATCTTCAGCCCTAACCTGTTGAATATTCATATTTTAGCTCCTACAAGTGCTGGGAAGACCCTTGTAGCAGAATTACTCATTTTAAAGCGTGTTTTGGAAACGCAGAAGAAAGCCTTGTTTATTCTTCCCTTTGTTTCTGTGGCTAAAGAGAAGAAATACTATCTCCAGGTAATTACTAAGTTTGAAATAGTAGAAGAACCATTATTGACATCGTTAGCTGTATTTATTTGAAATAGAATTTATAAAAGCAGGCAAAAAGCACAGTTTTTTTTACTGTACCTCTTCTACCTTTAAAAGTTGACTAATAAAAGTGTTTAAAGATTTACAGAGGAAAACTTTAATTAATTGTTATATGAAAGACAAAGGGCTATAAAGTCACACAAGTGATTATTGACTACTATTGAAAAAAATTTTTGTGTGTCAGAATTCATAAATGTTTTCTTAGGAAGCAAAAAGAATAGTTAATTAGCATTATATAGCATTTTATACCCTGAAAATGAAGAATCAGTGTTTGAATTGTTTGTTTGAATTTATACCCTATTAGCATTCCATTTTATACCCTGAAAATGAAGAATCAGTGTTTGAATTGAACTGGAGGTCTAGTATGGCGAGGAGCGCATGTCTGAGGAAGTGCATCTCATTTGTTTGAGGGCCACTGGGAATGTCTAGGGGCTGACAGACAAGAGCCATTGGTGTTTAGGCAAAGTTCCAGATCTGTGGCATGTACCTCTCTTATCTTGCAAAAAGAAGTAGTGCAAGTCTTTGATATGATACTAACTAGTTTTTAAGGCATTATCACAAATAGTGCTTCGCCAAGTGCAATACATTTACTACTGTGATTTCTTCAATGAAAAAATGTGTTATTAGAATGGAAAGCTTATTCCGCTAATACACCAAAAAATATGGGTTCTAGTCCCTTTTACAGTTTTCAGCCCTGAAAAAGTGTGCTGGGCCTCAGTGATTTCATTTGAAAAGTGAGGATGTGATCCCTTAGCACTGGATTAACTCAGATTCTCAGAGAAAATTTATTGAATGAACAGCGCTAAATTTCTGTGTTTCTGTAATCTTTTAAACAGTTATTTCAAAGGCCAAATAGCCAGCAAAGTTGGTCCTTCATGGTAGATCCTCTCAACTTAGACCCAAAGTAACAAAATGATGAAAGAACCTTTTATACTGAGAAGGTATGTTAGTTAAAAGTTAAACTAGAAAAAGAAAAAAGTCAATACCACAGTCCGGTTAAATTTGACTTACAAAAAGCTTTTTCCCATTATATAAACAACTGGTTTCAGTAGGATAAGACTGTTTTCCTTATTAAGTATAAGTTTGTTAGCCTGGTGTGGTGGCTCACTCCTGTAATCCCAGCACTCAGGAGGCTGAGGTGGAGGATCCACAGTTTGAGACTAGCCTGGGCTACAAAGTGAGCTCAAGGCCAGCCTGAACTGCATAGCGAGACCCCATCTCAAAAAAAGACAAAAAAAAAAAAAAAATATGTTTGTTTCTTAAAATGTTATATTAGCATTAATTAAAATTTCCTAGTATCTTGCTATTTATTAGATTAAAAATTTTAGTGCTAAAAATTGTTAGTGCTTAAGGTAATTTTTTCCAATTTTAATTTCTGTAAATACTTCTTAGCTACTAGATTACTAAACTATCATTAAAATGACTTAATTCTATTTGATTGTATCTTTTAAAACTTGGTTTTATTTTTTTACTTTTTAAAAAATTGTATTTAAAGAGAAAAAAGCAAAACAAAAAAGGGTAGTAATAATACAGAATTTAAAAAAAAAATAAACAGTAAGAAATAACTAGTACATTAGTTGATGAATTACATACTGTCACCTTAGAAATAGTTGTTCAAGTTACAGAATTAAAACACACAAAATGGACATTCAAACAGTGAGACTGCAAACAGTTCTGCTCAATGATCCAACCAGGTTTTATTTTTTAAAATTAATTTTATTAGTACATTTTGGATATACATAATGATAACGTTCATCATTGGGAATTTCTACTTGTTTATATCTTAATTTTGACTCTGTGTTAACAGAAATCTTTGAAATGAGCTTTGTTAGTGTTGAACTTCATAGTTTTAGTTTAGTATATGCTTCTAAAAAGTATGTGAGTCTTGGTCAGGAACCACTGACAGTAATGTCATAAATATCTTTACCTAGTTATGTCTGTTTTCTTAGATAGAATCTATCTATAGCTCATAATTACAATTTTTTCACCTCTATTGTTTTCAATTCAGAATCTGTTTCAAGAAGTAGGAATAAAAGTAGACGGTTATATGGGCAGTACCTCTCCAACAGGTCATTTCTCTTCGTTGGATATTGCTGTCTGCACAATTGAGAGAGCCAATGGTCTGATCAATCGCCTTATAGAGGAAGATAAGATGGATCTGTTAGGTAAGAAAACATAATCAAATACTTCTTATTGCTGTTTTTGATGGAATGGAATGACACCATTATGATTTCTGTACATAACTGAGTGTACAGGGTCAGGATACAACCCCTGTTACTAGACAAAAAGATCTGTATGCTTAATAACTGGCATATTGTCTTTGGTATACTGTTATATCTTTATTTCTACAAAGTTTCTGATTTATAATTGTCTGAGTAATGATAGGCATTGTTCCCTGATCCTGTGTTGTACTGTTTTTTTTTTTTTTTAAATTTTATTTAAGGAGGAAAAAAAAAAGCGGAGAAAGGGTACAAGTTATACAGATTTACAGAAAAAAATAAACAGTAGGAAATCACTAGTTAATGGATTACATATTGTCATCCTAGAAATAATTGTTCAAGTCACAAAATTAAAGCTTGTAAAGTGGACATTCCAACAGTGAGACTGCAAACAGTTCGTTCAATGATCCAATAAAACTCTGTGATATCATTTTCTATCTTATACACTTAAATATACATGCAGTTATATTGTTTAGAGCACTTTCTTTTCCTCTCTTTTGTACAATGACAATTACACATTTTGGGTTTTGTTGCTCCCACAGTTCTTATTACTTTTTTGGAAGGGAGTAGAACCAAATGTGACCTAACAGAACAGAGTCAATCAAATCAAAAGGGTGGACATAATAGATAATGTAAAAGCATAATACAAGGTGATCAATAATGGGTACCATAATGCCTCCCGCTATCTCTAATAGAATTGCCTATATCATCAGTCACAATAAAATGGAACAAAACAGTAAAGAACAAAACTGACAAAACCAAAACATTGGAGACATTATAGGTCTTCAAAAGTAGATAAAAGTCAACGAGAATGGGCGTCATAATGAATCTCACTATCTTCACAGCTGTTGCCTAAACTTTTGAACCTGGTACTATCAAGCAAAACAGAATAGGGGGACATCAGTCAAAAACAAGATGGTGAGAGTAATACAGGACTTTAAATCAAGATAATGGAAAGTCAAAGTGGGTTACTATAATATATCCTGCTATTTTTTATTTATTTTCCCTTTAATTAAAAGGATAAAAATAAAAAAGTAAATAATAAAGTGGAGATTGAGATAAAAGAGGGCATAACAGCAAAACAGTGCAGATCAAAACATAACCATTTAAGCAAAACAGTGTTTCACCACAAGATAATCCTGACATAAAAGTAGTTACCATATTGTCTCTTTCCTTGAAATCTTTGAGTATAACTTCGTATACTGTAGCATCAAATATATCAAAACAATGTAAAACCATTTAAGAGAATGACAGCATTACAGGGTATTTAGAATCAACTAACAGAAAATGAACAATGGTTTCTGTATAATCTCCTTGTCTTTAAAAGTTTTTGCTTATACTATCGTACATAATAAAATCCAATAAGATACAACCTGTTTAGACCAATGGAGACAGAAGAACAAAAGCTTGATGAGACTTCAAAACAAGATGATACTAAATCAATATTACCTATTAAGACATCATTTTCTCCAAATAGCTGTTCCTATCATCCAATCTTCTCTGCCTCTTTTCTGTTGAGCTCTTTTTCTGTCATTAGTTGTCAGTTTGTCTTCTTCATTTTGTTTTCTGCTCCATTCATTGTGGCCTCTCTGCCACTATTTCTGGATTCTTTGTATTTTTCTTTTTTAGAATATCCTGCAGTATTCTCTGTAGAGTTGAATTGGTGGTTGCAAATCCCCCTAGTTCCTCTTTATCCTTGGAAGCACCTTGTTTTTCCATCAATTTCCAGGGATAGTTGTGCAGGATATATCAATCTTGGCTGGAGATTATTATCTTTCAAAGCTTGAATTATTTCCCCCCACGCTCTTCGTGATTTGATGGTTTGTGCCAAGACGTCTGCTGTAATTCTGATGGGTGTTCCCTTGTAAGTGGTCTGTTTCTTGTCTCTGACAGCTTTTAATATTCTGTTCTTGTATTGAATTTCTGGAACTTTTATTATTATATGCCTGGGTGTTGCTCTGTTTGGGTTGTAGGTGGCTGGGGTCCTGTATGCCTCATACATCTGAGTATCTTTATCTTTTGCTAAATTAGGAAAATTCTCCTGGATTATTTCTGTGAGTAGCTTTTGTAGCTCATTTGTTTGTGTCCCTACTTCTTCTTTTATGTTAATTCTTAAGTTATGGATCCTCTTATCATCTTCTAGTCTTTGTATTATTGCTGTTTGTTTCTTTGTTACTTTTAAGAAGTTTTTCATTTCATTCTCCCATATTACAAATCTGCCCTCCAGTTTAGATAGTCTGTCCTTAGTTTCTTTCAAGCTGTTATGCCAATTTTCGATAGAATTTTTAGTTTCCTGGTAGTCTCTTTGAACCTGCTTCACGTATTCTATGCTTTCTCTATTTTCTCCATCAAATAATTCTCCCCTCTTTTTCTGTTCTTCCATTCCACCATCTGTTTTTTCTTGGGTGGTGCTTAGCATTTCTCTAACTATTCTGCTTATTTCTAGCTTCCGGTCATTAATAACTTCATTCCTGAACTGATCTATGAGGCTCTCTAGATGGGCTTTATGTCTATTGATGCGGTGTCCGCTATTGCCTGTTTCTCAGGATTGGGGGCCGAGGAGCCTTTCTTGTTGCTGCCTCTTCCCATATTCTTTGTTCCTTATATATGCAAGCTTATATAGGAGGCCCAGCTTCCCTCCCTGTCAGCCACAGCCTGATGGAATTGCGCCGGCTAGGTGTTCCCGCCCACCGTAGCACACCAGGAAATTGTAGACCAGGCAGCCTACGTGGGGCCTGCCCCTCCAGGCCACCTTCAGGCTCTGGGATCTGGGTTGTGCTAGCCCACTGGCTCTCGGCCAGGAACGTCACATAGGCTAGGCACTTCTCACCAATCCCACTTGAGAGGGGGATACGTGGCTGAAGTCGTTGCAGCGCCCCGCTCCCGCAAGTCTGCCCAGTCCCAGAATGTCTTCCGCTGGAGTCTCATTAAACTGTGGGAGAGTGTCAGTTTCTCTCACTCACCTCACTGCATCAATGCACAGCTCCCCGCCCATCCTGTTTTCAACTCCGTTCACTGATTCCCGTTCTCAGAGCTTTTGCGCATCTCTCTCCCTGCTGAGCCGATGTAGACGCAGCCGCCGCGCGGCGGGAAACCCAAATCACAGCTTCCAATGGCGCGGGCTCCAGTCTCCACACTGAGGCCCCTCTGTTCCTGTTCTAGCACCAGGACTGCATTCCAAGTTGGTTTCTCTCAGCCCAGTTCGTTCCTGGGTCAGCAGAACATATCTCCACCTGCTTATGACTCCTTATTCCACACCATTCCTGAATTCTAAGCCGAGTCTTTCAGAGAGCCTCCATAGCTGCTGCTATCTGTCCGCCAGGTTCTCCCGGAAGTCTTGTACTGTTTTCTCTTGTCTACTTCTGGAAGCAAGAACTGGCATTTGAGTGTCAGCAACTCTGTGTAAACAAGTTTGTCTTGTGTTCCGCTGCTGTTATTGACTCCAATATCTCGCTTTTTGTACTTTATATCACATAGAAGATATTCTTGAGCCTGGCAGTTTTCATTTTCCTTCTAAACTTTACAAGCAATAGAACAAATTCTTCTTGGCCTGTGGAGATTTGCCTTCTCCATAGTTAGTATATCTGTGTATTATCACACTCTAGTGTGCTGATATATAGATTAGGCGTGGACCTGGAAGTTGCATTCAAGGGAAATGATAGGGAGACATAGAAACATAGAAATGATAGGGAAGCCTGGTGCCACATACCTGTAATCTTGGGACTCGGATCATGGCAAGTTTGAAGCCAGCCAGGGCTACCTAGTAAGTTCAAAGCTATCCTGAACTATTTAGTGAGAACCTATTTCAAAAAACCAATAATATGGTTATGTTTTAGGGTATGGTGGGAGGTGAGAATCAAAAATTAGTAAGACATGGGCTCAGCTGGATAGAGCATGGAGATGGATATCACAGTCAGTTTGTAGTAGAATTGGTTTAGGCCTTTTGGCTCCACTGGACTATCTTGAGGATTCTTACAGAATCATGTTTTACTGTATATTCAGTGTACCCAATGCAGTTCTTCACATACTAGATAGAATAAGTATTTTTGGATGCATGAATAAATGCTAAAGTAATTGATCATTTATCATGATTTAGAGATAGCTTGCTGGTAAGGAAAAAGAGCATAATGTATCTTTAGGGTGTTGTCTGGAAAGTCTTGGGTTTGGCGAAGAGGATACATTATGGGACACCAATGTATATAGGAACATTGATGTTACCATATATGTTTATTCAAAGAAGGCATTTTCTTTCTTTTTTGTTTTTTGTAATTTTTTTTGTTGTTGTTCTTTTTCTTTCTTTCTTTTTTTTTTTTTTTTTTTTGTGATAGGTTCTCGCTATGTTGTTCACACTGGCCTTGAATGCCCAGGGCTCCTCCTACCTCAGCCTCTAGAGTGTTGGGGTGACAGGCCTATGCCACCCTGCATAGGAATTTTCTGCAACTCTTGAGCATCATTCCAAAGGCACAGACTGGCTCATTTATCCAAATTGTGGAAAGTGTGTTTTGCAACAGGGAGACTAATTAGCCTATCACATTAAAAGAACTACCTTAAAATCATTTGTCTTTTCTTGACCTAGTTTTGTTTTTTTAAGCAAATTTTTTTTTTCATGAGGATGGTTGTTTCCTTATACAAGACAGATGTGGCTCATGCCTATAATCCCAGCGCTCTGGGAGGCTATGACAGGAGGACTGGAAGTTTGAGGTTAGCCTGGGAAATATAGCAACTGAGAAAGACTGAGTCTCAAGGAAAGGGGTGGCGATGTAAACTCGGAAGGCCCAGGGTATAAACCCTAACTACAACAACAAAAAAATCAATATACTGAGTAACTAACTAAGTAACTAAGATATCTTTGGTGTATCATTATGTTTCTTTCTATAAAGTTATCAATTTAGGAGTGTCTACATAATGTTAGGCAGTGTTCCCTGGGTTTGGTTAGTCAAAAGTTAGCTAATCATTGCTTTTTAGATCTAGAATACATGCTAGTAGGAATGCTTATGGTAACTGAAGCATCATGGAAAATTGCTCGTTATGCCAAATCTGGTTTTTATTTTACAGCTTGAAATGTCATTGCTTGCAATATATTATAGTCCCAGTTATTTACTGTATGATATATGCTACTGACTGTTTCAAAATTTTTAGAATTGTGAAGTTCTGTAAAATCTTTTTAGGAATGGTAGTTGTGGATGAGTTGCATATGTTGGGAGACTGTCACCGAGGATATCTGCTGGAACTTTTGCTCACTAAAATTTGCTATCTTACTCAGAAATCAGCATCTCGGTGAGTATCTACAGTGACTGCATTCTTGTTATCCAGACAGTGCTGTGAAACTGGCTCCGAAGTACAAATGTACAAGGTAAAGGGATATAGTACGATCTTTAAAAAGTGTATGTACAGTAGTTTGTTCTCATTCTAAAAGAAATACTTCAGATGAAAATTGATTTTCAATTACTTTGTAAACATTGTTAAATTTGACTGCTCAGCATTTCACTGTACATACTTTTATGAAAAATTTATGTTGTCAATTACACACAGATAATCTGAGGTATCAGGACTAGCCTCCTAGTTTTTTAAAAATTTTATTTAAATTTACAGCAGTATCTCTAAGAGCATCTGTGTGAGGTTTAGTGTCAGACACCACCTACAGACGTCTTACAGTGAAGCATGAACGTCCAGCTCTGTCTTCTGTTCTCTGCTCACTGACACTCTTCTCATCTTCCTCAGTCTCTCCTGCTCCTCTCATCATCTTCCCATTCTCCAGATATAAGGTTGCTTATTTTTTGTTGTAGCACTAGAACTGTATGAAAACCATTGCAAACCGAACTAGATTATACTGTAACTTCTTTTCTAAAAAATGTTTTATTTTATCTGAAATGAATAAATGCCATTCTTGTTTGGTGACTTGGTTTTCTAGGGCTTCTTATTAATCTACCCCTGGCCTCTTTCCCAAGTTGTGTAAGTCCCCAACTATTATAGTCAGTGCATCTGCTGTTCTATCAAGGTCCCCATCTTGAAGTTTGTCCCAAGGCCTTGTGAGAGGCTCCAGTGTGGAAAGGTTTAGTCTGTGTATGTAATACATAGCTCGTGCCTTGGGCTCTCCCTTTATCATTATCATTATCATTATTATTCATTCTGTTGCCTTTGGCTTGAGACATAGCACCCTTTTCTGGATTACCTTCTCCTCTTCTCTTCTCTTCTCTTCTCTTCTCTTCTCTTCTCTTCTCTTCTCAGTTTTGTGGCACTGTCATCCAGAAAATTCCTTCTTTTTCAGTGAAAAAACTAGTATAAAGTTTTTTGAGACTATTTTTTTTAGTGGTAATGGACATTGAACTTGGGGCCTCTGCATTGCACAGTATCCTTGCCCTTTTTATGGTTTAAAGATTTCACTAAATTGCTAATTGTCCAGGCTGTCCTCAAGCCATATGTGAAAATACCTTTTAATTTATATTTGATAAATTAAGTATGAGTCAAGATTAGAAATATTTTATTACTTTATCTTTTTATTTTATTGATAAATCCAATACTATGCCGATCCTTCATCTTTTATAATATTTAAATTTTTTTCTGGGAGGTTTTTTTTTTCCTTTAGTGTGGTGAGATTTTGTACAGATATGTCTTGGCGCTAGTCTGTGTTCATTTATTTTGCTGGGTACTAAATAGATTTCTTCCACATAGGAAGATTTTGGATTGAGTCTTTAAATTTGGGGGGATCTGATTTTTTTTACTTTTATTTAAAGCGAAAAAAAGCAAAACAAAAAAGAATAACAACAATACAGAATTCCAAAAAAACATTTAGATAATTTCTTTCAATTTTAATTTCTGTAAATAATTCTTAGATATAAGATTATTAATGTTATCATTAAAATGACTTAATTTTATTTGATTGTATCTTTTTAAACTTGGTTTTGTTTTTTTTTTACTTTTTAAAAAATTTTATTTAAAGAGAAAAAAAAGCAAAACAGAAAAAAGGGTAGTAGTAATACAGAGTTTCAAAAAAAGTAAGAAATCACTAGTTGATAAATTTTATACTGTCATCTTAGAAATAGTTGTTCAAGTTACAAAATTAAAGCATACAAAGTGGACATTCAAACAGTGAGACTGCAAACAGTTCTGCTCAACGATCCAACAAAAACTTAGTAATATGGTTATCTGTCTTACACACTTAAACATACTTGCAGTTATATCCTTTAGAGCACTTTCTTTTCCTCTCTTTTTACAATAGCAATTACACATTTTGGGTTTTATTACTCCTACAGTTCTTATTACTTTTTACACTAGAGATACAATGTGGTATTTATAAATATGATTCTTATTTATTTCACTTATGAGGATAGTCTCAAGTTGCCTCCATTTCAATATGAAGGCCTCAAGGTCGGGATCTGATTTTTTTGAGTTTCTTATGTACCCTAGATGTTAGTCCTTTGTCTGAGGAACAGCTGGGAAACATTTTTCCCACACTGTGGGTTTTCTCTTCACTCTGTTGCTGATTTCTCTTGTGAGCAAAGGTTTTTTTTTTGTACTGAGATTCAAACTCAACCTATCACTTGTCAAGCAGGCACTTCCGTCACTGAACTAAATCCCAGCCCACAAAAGCTTTTTAATAAGATGAGATTCTAGTTGTTGATTCTTTGTGATAGTGCCTATGCAGTTGACACTTTGTACATAAATGCTTTGTCTATGTCAATGTCTTCAAAAGTTTTACCTACTCTATATTCCGGCAGATTTAGTGTTTCTGTTTTAATGTTTAGATCTTTGATCCATTTCAGTTTCAGTTTAGTGCATGGTGAAAATTATGGGTCTTGTTTTAATCTTTGGTATATAGAAAGCCAGTTTTTCCATTTAGAAAGATTTAAATATGTCTTACTATATGATAGAATATACTATAGGATAGACATACTATATCCCAAATCATTAGAGATATAGAAGATATGGCTAATGCAATCAACAAATTTGACCTAATGGTTATGTATATAAAAGTTACCAAAAGCAGTAGAGTGTATGTTTTTAGTTTATCCAAATGAAACATTTATGTAAAGATTTATCATCTGGGCAATAGAGTAAGTCTTAATGTATTTCAAAGGACTGAAATCACTTAAAACATACTTTTGGGCACCAGGCATGGTGGAGCATGCCTGTGATCCCAGCACTCAAAAGGTTGAGGCAGGAGGAGCACTGAAAGTTCAAGGCCAGCCTGTGCTACATGGTAAGATCCTGTCTAAAACAAAAACCAAAAAACAAAACAAAAAAATCCTCATAAATGTAGCTATTATGTACTACAGACATGTACAAATAAAAGTTATGGTTTAAAAAAATACTCCCCGAATAGTAGAATCAAGGTATAAATAAGTATAAGCAAAGCATCACTAGAAAATGGATACATGTTTAGGAATGAATATATTTTTAGACTCATTTTTGGGACAAAAGAATAGATAAAAATTAGAAAATGCTTTTTCACTATAAAATATCTCAGAATAGATGAATGTAACTGATGTCTTAAGTGAAAATTTTATTTATTTATTTTGAGGGTAGTAAAATACAACAGAACAAGACAGAATAAAGTCTATTGAGACAATGCAGTGAAATTGGTACAGACTTCGCAGCAGGTTGCTGGAATAACAGTAATAGGTACTGTAGTATATCTCATTATCTTCACTGTAGTTGTTCTTTCAATCAGGTATAGCAAAATCAAACGAAATACAGAACATCATAAAAACCTATCAAAACAGAGTATTGAATAGAGCAATACAATTAATCAAAACAAAGCAAAACAGTGATGACAATATTTGCCTTCAAAGAAATGGTAGAAGGAAATCCCCAATATTTGCTATATTGCATACGGTCATCCTCCCAAGAGATACTCATATCTCTGGCTCCCATTTGCTAAAGGGCAGGGAGGAATGTTTGATTCTTAGCCCGCGTGTCGATAGGCTCAGGGCTGCCTAGTAGGGAGGCAAGTAGGTTGCTTTGTTGCCCAGCACTCTAGGTTCCAGCATGCCTCAGATCTTGGAGACGCTGGCTGCCTGGTTCTCTCCCTGGGTCACCCACCGCTTGTTAAAGCCATGGCTGCTTACCAGGAAGGCCAGTCTATTTTATTTCATTTCATTTCATTGTCTTGACACAGGGTTTCATTATGTAATTCAGGCTGGCCTTGAACTCACTTTGTATCTATGGTGGCCTCAAACTCATAGCAAGCCTCCTGTTCTAGCCTCCCAGGTGCTGAGATTACAGGGATTGAGCCATAACACCCAGCTAGTTAAAGTGAAATCTATAGTTTTATATATATGTGTAAATTACTTAATTTATCCATTTTAAGAATTTCAGAAAAGAACTGTAAGTAATGTCAGAAAGTAGAAGGAAAAAAAGTAAAAACAACAAAATTAATGAAAGTAATTGAGGAAAGTTGCTATCCAAACTATTTTAATCAGTTCTATAAATAAGAAAAGCACAAATAGCCCAATTATTGATGAGGAATTTGAACTAGCATTTGCAAGAATATATATAAATGGCCTGTAAATTTGAAATGGTGCTCAACCTCATTAGCAATCAAGTAGATGTATATCACCTCTTCCAACAAATATCATACTCTGTTCATAATGGCTCACTTTTTTTTTGCAATTGGGAATTTTACTCAGGACCTAGAGCTTGCCAGGGAGGCACCATCCCACTGAGCTATACCCCTGGCCTACAATGGCTTACATTAAAAAGGTTGACAATACCAAAATGTGAGTACAACAATAGTATACACGTGGCTTTTTTGAGTATTACTTTGGCACAATCTCTTGAGAAAACCATTTGGCATTACCTCTTAAAACTAAAGGTAAATTGTGACCCAGTAATCTATGACCCAGTAATTATACTCCTTGGTCTATATGTTAAATGTTTGAAATATGATTGAAAATATAGTAATTGTTCAGATTTTTAAAATTTCTTACAGTGAAAGACATACTGCTATTAATTTTCCTCAGAATAGTCCCATTTGCTTCAAATACGTTTATCCCATCTTACCACTTTCTGAAGCATTGCGGAAGTCTTGTTGACTGTCGATAGTTGTGTTGTTATAACTGACTCGATGTTCTGACTTTGTTTCAAATGTGTACCTCTTATAGTCATTTTGATTGAGAGAGAGAAGTAGAAGTTTCTTGGTGCCAGAAATGGTGAATAAGGGAGATGAGAACACACATCAGTGTTTTACCACCCTGCCTTTTCATTGGCTGGCACTCATGTTTCATAAAGACACGCATGAGAGAGCACTTCTGGAATGCTTCAGAAGATGGCAAGAACAATGGGATAAGTGTGTCTGAAGTGAGGCAGAATATTTAAGGGGGATTAACGGCAATGTATCTTTTATTATAATAAAATTTTAATGTATACCGTATATTTTGATCACCTCTTGTATACACGTGTGCACCAAAGTACATGACTAAGAGCATTTCAGCAGCAATGTTGGCTAATTTAGTACATGTCTTTGAATGTGATTTTCATTTGTTTTTCATAGCCAGGCGGATTTAGCCAGTCCTCTGTCCAATGCTGTGCAAGTTGTTGGCATGAGTGCCACTCTTCCTAATTTGGAGCTTGTGGCTTCCTGGTTGAATGCTGAACTCTACCATACTGACTTTCGTCCTGTACCACTTTTGGAGTCAATAAAAATTGGAAATTCCATTTATGACTCTTCAATGAAGCTTATAAGGGAATTTCAACCCATGCTACAAGTGAAGGTAAATCATTACTTTTACATCACTGCTATCAATATCTTTGTGTTTGATGGTATTTCTAACTAGTTATTAACAATTTTTGAATTATATAATTAGAGATTGCAGAGTATATATCGATTAATATTAAGCTATATATGTTTAGAATTAATATTAAACAAGTATTAAAGAGTTGATGGTGATAGGAGTGTAGCTGTGTCTTTAAATGGTATTTCCTGATATATAATTTAAACATTTTAAAAGTATCTAATTTTGTGAAATTTTCTGTTTAAGAAAACATTTTCTTATGGGCTAGCCTATCCTAGTTTTATGTGGAAAAGTAAACTTTCATTAGTTATACAAATTTTGTACTGTACTAATGGTGGTTATACTAAATAGTATGCACAATGAAACGAACTTAATTTTAGGATTTAGACAGTCCTACCTCTGAGTCTTAATAGAGGTACTTGCTGTGACTGAGAAATTGGTTGAATTACAAAGTCTATTTAACCTATTTGTAAAATAGGAGTGTAATACGTTAGTACTGTTGTAAAAACAAAATACAATTCTTAAAATTGTCTAGCATTTAGAAGTTTGGTAAATAAAAAAGTTTACTCTTAAACTCATGAATGCCCATTTTTGTTGTTAGCTTTTCATCCGTTTTGAATAAGAATTTTTAATAGTTCTTTAGTACATTTTGGTGATATATTTTGTATATATTCATTGTGGGGAGTTGGTATGTTTACGTATCACATCTTAGGTTTTTTTTTTTTTTTTTTTACTTCTCGTTTTCGTCCTCTGATCACACTTAAAATTTTTAGTTGATGGTATTTTATTTGCTGAGCCTGATTCTTTTTTTTTTTCTGTCTTTTTCCTTTTTATTGGTACCAGGGATCGAACTCATGACTGCCTGCTTGCAAGGCAGGCGCTTATGCCGCTGAGCTAAATCCCCAGCCCCATGAGCCTGATTCTTTAAGTCCAAGGTTGAAAAAGTATTATATACATTTACTGAATGAGAGGTATTTTCTTTCTTTTGTTTCCTTTTTATTCCCCTTAGTCTTGGGAATTGAACCCAGATCCTTCATATAGAGCTATATCCCCAGCCCATTTTATATTTATATTATTTTATTTTATTTTACACAGGCTCTTACTAAATTGTTAGGTTGTCCAGGTTGGGTTCTTGATGATCATGGTATCTCCCCTGCCAGGTAAGTATTGCCAGGTTGGGTTCTAACTTACGATTTTCTTGTTTCAGCTTCCTAGAGTGCTGGAATTTTCGGCATGAAACTTTGCCTGAGGCATCTTCTATTTTTATTTGGGTCTTTTAGTTTTATTAGACAGGGTCTCACTCTGTAGTCCAACTCAGTATATGGTCCAAGCTGGCCTCCAACTCATGGCGAGCCTCCTGTCTTAGCCTCTAGAGTGCTGGGATTATAGGCAGACACCACACATGTCTGGCTATTTTTGTGCATATGTGTACTTCTGAGTGCTGAAAGAGGTTAGGGGCACTTTAGAGTAAGGAGTAGGGTAAATTGATGTCTGGATATCGTTATGGGTATGAATTGTGGCCTCTGTATATCTGATATGGACTCTTCAGCTGCTTTGCTCTTTACCCTAAATTTCACCAGGCTTTGCCCTGGCAGCTCCGTAAGTTTTTATGCTGCATACATTTTTTTGCTCAGTTTTTAATCTTTTCTTCTGATAGCATGTCTAAGTCTCCACCCTGTTTGAGCCACTTTTACTTCTGAACTGGATTACTGAAACAGCTTCCTAATTGTTTTCTCTGCTTGTTTCCCTCCACCTCTGCTTAAATAAGGAGCTAGTTATCTATTTAAAATGAACATCAGATCACGTTGTCTGCTAAAAAGCTTACAGTAGCTTGGTGTTTCATTTAGTGCTCCCACTCAGTGCTCTGAGCTGGCCAGCTGCAGTTTGCCCCAGTCCCCGCCCCCGGCCCGCCTCCTTGCCTTTCTGCGCTGTGCCCAGACTGTCCTACTTCAGGTTCTCTTGATTTGAAGCGCCTTCCCTTCTGTAACAGTGTGGTTCACTCAGTCACTGTGGCTCCTTCACTCAAATGTCACTTTCTTAGCTCTTCCCTGGACACCTTATCTAAATTAGTGTCCTTCTCATGGTCCCTAATTGTCTGCCCTGTTTTTGTTTTTCTTCTTAATGCTTTTTCAAAATTGATCATATTATAACTTTTACTTTCTTTTTGCTATTTTCTCTTTTCCTACTGGAGTAAAAGCAGTAAGGGCAGAACTTCTATTCTGCTTTGTTCTTTGCTCTGTCCTTAGTTCCTAGGATAATGCCTAGCACTTAGCTGTGTAGTGAGTGAATGGAGGCATGAGTTCATTACACAGATTGACATTTTTTCCAGTGTGCAGAAGTTACAGGCTGGCACAGGGCAGTTACACTTGCTTTTTGCTCTGCCTGAACAATCTGCTACTTTTATTGACATTATTCTGTATTTCCATTCACATCTTTTTTTTTTTTCCATCACATCTTAACTAAATCATTTTCTTAGGGACATTTTTCTTTCAGGTCTTGGTTAAATTTATTTCAGATATGAGAGCTTAGGAAGGCTGTAAAATTTCTTTTTTAGTATATTTCATGGTTGTATTTTACCTTTATTTGAGTTTTGTTTGTTTGTTTTGTTTTTTTAGACAGGATCTTGCTCTATGTAGTTTAGGGTGGCCTTGAGCTCACTATGGAGCCCAGGCTAGACTTGAACTCACAGCAATCCTCCCGCCTCAGCCTCCAGAGTGCTGGAATTACAGGTGTGCATCACCATGCCTGTCTATATTTATTAGTGTAGTAGTTTAATCTGTCTCTCAATGAGACCATAAACGCCTTGAAGATTAAGACTCTCACTTTCTTTTGCTCACCAGTATGTCCCTACTCCTTCAGGGTTGGAACTCAGTACATATTATTTGAATGCATAAAATAATTTTGCTTTGCAGTTTGCATCATTAGTTTTTACTTTTTTTTACTGACCTTTAAAGTTATTTTTATTATTGTTTGGAGTACAAAAACCCCTACAAAACAAAATGAGTGATTTTGAACTGATGTTTTGAAAGTATCACTGCAGTAGGTATTTTTCTCTTTTATAGGAAGATGAGGATCATGTTGTTAGTTTATGTTATGAGACTGTTTGTGATAACCATTCAGTATTACTTTTTTGTCCATCAAAAAAATGGTGTGAGAAGCTGGCGGATATTATTGCGCGGGAGTTTTATCGTCTACATCATTCAGCCGAGGGTGAGTTACAGATGGAAATGAACGTCTCCATTGTTACTGTGTTTGCAAGAGATGAATGGGAGGGGGTGTGAGGAAGAGAAAGGTATGAAAAAAATAATTGAGATGTACAAATGTATAAATGTACAAATACCAGTTTCCCACAAAGAATGCAAACATGTACTGCTAATGTATACTAATGATTAAGAAAACAATGCTAGTGATTACATGAACAAACCATGACTCTTTCATTATGGCTACTGTTGGTCCACTAGTCACTCCTTTACAAAGCTATGCTTCTGTGAATCTCATTCTCTCCTGTCCTTCTTATAGATAGTGTGTACACATACTCTTAGGGTAGTTGGTTTCACATTTTTAGAGTACTGTGCTTATATAGGTATATAACAGGAGTTTTCATTTGGGATCTATGGGCTTTGAGAGGTTGATTTTTGGAGTTCCTAAATTGTACACCAAACTACATTTATAGTATAAACCCCACTCCTGGAAAATGATCACATCTTTCTTAAAATTTCCAAAGGTATGCCCCTAAAAAGAAATCTTACATCCATAGACATATGTGTCTATCTGTGTATACACACACACACGCTCACACGCATACTAATATTTATTTATTTTTATCTTTTTGAGACAGGGTTTCACTACATACATAGTTTAGACTGGCCTTGAACTCACTTGGCAGCCCAGGCTGGCCTCAAACTCTCAGTAATCCTCCTGCCTCAGCTTCCTGAGTACTGGGATTGCAGGTGTGCACCACCATGTCTAGCTCCATGTGTATTTTAAAATCACTTTTATTGAGGTACAGCTTTATACATAAGATATATCCTCTTGAAGTGTATTAATTTGATGAATTTTAGCAAAGGCACACATCCATTTCACTATCCCATAATCAAATGTATAGACCAGTTCCATCACTAAAGTGTTCTGTTCCACTATTTGATGTCTGCCTCCTTCCTCCTCTATTTTGACAGCTTTCTGTCACTTTGTTTTTTCTGTCTTTTTTCCGGTTCATTTCAGCTAATATGAAAAATATAATTAAGGCTGATTGATCTAGTTCAAATCATATCTGAATTTAGAGAATTTGAAATGCTTCATTATCAGCATGCAGTTTTTAAAAAACTGTATCAGTTATTTTTACCTTATGAGATTTTACATTCTACAACAATGTACTTAATGTGGATATTTCTGTCATTTTAGATTACTTGTATTTTAGAAACTAGGGATTTTGTGTAAATGAAGTCGCATAACATATGTGTGTCTTCCATGGCTTCTTTCACCCAGAATAATGTTTTTGAGGCTTGTTGATACTTTTGCTTCTATAATTTGCTCCATTTTAATTGTTCAGTGCTAACCCAGTACATTATATAGCCATTACCATATATTTATATTGGTTCTCAGTACTTTTACTAACTAGCCCATGGTTCTTTGGGCTAAAATAAATACAGAGAAGACAAATCAGTTCCAGTTACAAGATATTAGAATATTTTACTGCTTAATTATGTCAGTGGCCTCATGAGGGCAGGTAATAGATACCCCAAGCCTGGATCCAATAAGTAAACTTTACCTAAAGTTTATGTTGTTTAAATTCTGGTTCAACACTGTATTATCTGTCCCAGTTTCCTCTTAGTCAATGCTTTCTGTACCATGCTAACTTGTATTTTTGATATTTGTCATGATAACTGATTCCTTAATGACCAGACTCATTGTTTTTTCCTCTTTGTGAGATTTTGTTATCTTGGTCTGTAATTCTGGTTCTCAAATCTTGTGCTTCAATGGAGCACCGGCTACAATGGAATTTCTACCAAAATAACATTGATAAAGCAGTCCATTTTTCATAAGGCTGAAGTTTAAAATTTGAAATTACCTCCACTGTTTTTTAAAGATTAAAATAACTTCTCAAATAAATATATTAATAAGATATTAGTTTGAAAACGTTTTAGTTGTCCTTAGATTGCAAAACATTGGCAATCTTCTGTGGGTTTTCAAAATATTAAACTTTTATTTAAAAATTTAAATATGTAAAAATACAATATGAAAATATATTGTATGAAAAATGTACAACTTCAGAAATCTAAAGAAAAACAGTTCTTGCATTTAAGAAAGTTAAAGTCTTACTGAGGAGAAGGTTACACGGAGAGGCAAGACCAAAAGGCAGTGTGTGATTATCATCAGTTCAGTGTCACTGAGACTAGAACGATATTCCTAGAAAACTAGACTTCCAGGTGATACTGACACTGCTGGTTTGTGGGAAACAGCCTGAGTAAAGGTTTTGACCTTTTTTTAAAAAATCTTTTTGAGTCTTGCTATGCAGTTGAAGCTGCCTTGAATTCACTTTTAGCCCAGACTATGCTTGAAATCACAGCAGTTCTGCTGCAGCCTCTGAAGTGCTGAAATTAGAAGTGTGTGACACCACCCCTGGCAAGGGTTTGATTTTTAAGGTTGAGTAGCGATCAGCAGGTTCCTTTCCTCACCTTTAGGCTTTATAGCATCCTAATACAGAGTCTCCTAAACTGTTCATGTTAGAATCACCTGAGGAGATTTAAAAATTCTTCAGGTTCAGGTCACACCTCATCCCAGGTATATCACAGCATCTGGAGATCAGAATTTTATAGTTTTCAGTGGTTTCTGAACAATTGCCTTGGCAATTTTTGTTGTGATTTAGGCACATAGCACTTAAGAGAACAGTGTTGATTAGTATTAATAGTGTCTGTGTGTGTGTGTATGACAGGACTGGGAAAACAATCTGAATTTACACCACCAATTCTGGAACCCAAAAGCCTCTTGGAAGTAGTTGATCAATTGAAACGTTCTCCTTCGGGACTGGATTCTGTGTTACAAAAAACTGTACCATGGGGAGTAGCATTTCATCATGCAGGTATTCTGTGTTACAATAAACTGTACCATGGGGAGTAGCATTTCATCATGCAGGTATTCTGTATTACAATCTATTATTAAAAAGCCCTCTTAAAACATTCTCTGTTTCTTTATTTTATATTTATATGCATCTATTTCCTGTTAACTGTGCTTTGTACTTTTAGATTTCATTTAAGAAACTGTCTTGTTAAGTTAGTAAGAGTGACACAAACAGATTTACTCATCTGTGTAGCATATAGATAAAAGGGAAAGGCTTCTGTGAATTGTTGGGGAAGAAAGTTCCTAAACTGTTACCTTTCTGAAGTGTCTTGTTTTCTTTTAAAATTTAAGTTTTAGTGGTACTTGCTACTCAAATTTTATGTTATATTGGGTTTCTCCTATTATTACAAAGAGTTTTAAGATATTCTCACAGATATGTCAAAACCAAATTTATGTTGGAAATTGTCATATTGCATATGGAGAGATATAGTATTTAAAAATCAAATGGATAGGTTTTTCAAAACTGCAAAAAGTTTGACAGTCACTAAGTTAAATAACGTTTTTGGGGAAGGGTTCTGTCCGTGGTTATGTGTGCTTAGTATATAATGAAGATTTAGTTTCTAAGATTATGAGTTTATTCTTTTCAAAGTATTTTAAATTTTTATTGCTTTATTTATGTATATGTAATTTATATTGTGAACTATATCATGGTAAAAATTTAAAATAAATTTTAAAATACACATAAAGGTATGAAGTTGTTAAACTAGAATGCCAGTGGAATGTAGCTCATCATCTGTTTTTGTTAACAGACTGGATTGTTTGTTGGAACACGGTTATGATCATTTGGTTCTGTGGCTTCTTTATTTATAGTTAAACAATAGCTTAGAAAAAACTTTAGAGGCTTGTAGCAGACTCTCAGATCTACTTGTAAATGGTCAAGTGTGATATGTTATTGTATGTTAATACATGTTTTTGGAACATCTTGTTTTTAGGTCTTACCTTTGAGGAGCGGGATATCATTGAAGGAGCTTTCCGTCAGGGTCTCATTCGGGTCTTGGCAGCAACTTCTACTCTCTCTTCTGGGGTGAATTTGCCTGCTCGTCGTGTGATTATTCGGACTCCTGTTTTCAGTGGTCACCCTCTCAACATTCTTACTTACAAGCAGATGGTTGGTCGTGCTGGCAGGAAAGGAGTGGACACAATGGGTGAGTTTGAATTTAATTGTAATGGTATTGCTGAAGGACAGTGTCAGTGTATTTGAAATTTCACTAGTACCTGGCAACCTGGTTTTCATTGTGCTGTATATCTCTATTGGCAGTGTACTGCTGTCATCATTTTTGAACTCAGTTGTTATAGTGAGCATAAGTTATAATTTTCATATATTACTTTTAAAAAAATACTCATTTATTTAGGTACTGGGGATTGAACTCATGACCTCATGCTTGCCAGGCAGGTACTTATACCACTGAGCTAAAACCCCAGCCCTTATATATTACCTTTTTGTTTTGGTTTTCTTGAGGCAGGATCTCACTATGTAGTTTGAGCTAGCCTTGAACTTGCTCATGTAGCCTAAGCTGTCCTGGAAATCATGGTGATCATCTTGCCATAGCCTACCAAGTGCTGGTCATATATTGTGAACTGTTGGTTTTCTACTAATAACAGAATTAAAATTTTCTTTTGTATTCTATGCATTGAAATGATTCAGTGTTTAAAAATAAAGATGACTTTTACTACATTCACTGGAAGATGATTGTTAATTTCTAAGTATAGTCTACTCTTTAGCACTATTTGATTCTCATGCATATGAGTTCTACATAGGCAACAGTCTCAGCAGCCAAACTAGGATGCTAAGAGCATCTCATACTTTGGGAACAAGAACTTCATTACATACCATCTTTTTTCACTCCAAATTGGTGCTGGCTTTGAAAATAAACTTTTCAATTTATCGTATCAGCAAGTAATGGTAATATTACCAGCCATCCAAATAAAAGTTTTAGGAATTGAGAGCCTTGTTTGAATTAATTTTAATTTCTTTTCTTATCTTTACTCCTTTAATGTGTTTCTATTTTCTAATTGTTCTGGCAAATGTTTCCAGAACCATATTGAACAGAGTGGTGACAGTGGACATCCTTGTCTTGTTCTTGATTTTAGAGTGAAATCTTTCAATTTTTGTCATTTAGTATGATATTTGCTGTTTGTTTGTCATAGATAGCATTTTATCAGATTGAGATAAAGACCTTCTATTCCAGTTTTCTGTAGGATTATATTTTTTTATCATGAATGAGTGTTGGGCTGTATGAAATGCTTTTTTCCTGTGTCCATTAAGATGATTATGTTAACATGGTGTATCACATTGATTGATTTGTGTTTGGTGAACGACCCCTGCCTCTCTGGAATGACTCCTACCTGGTAATGCTATATAATTTTCTAGGTGATTTGCTCATTCTTTTTGCAAGGACATTACTGAGGATTTTTGCATCTTTGCTTGTTAGGAAGATTGGCCTATAGTTCTCCTTTTTGGTTGGCTCCTTCTCTTACTTTACTATCGGGGTAATACTTCTTTCAGGTATGAGTTTGGGAATATTACTTCTCTTTCAATTTCAATTTCTTTTTATTTTTTTAAAGTTTTATTTAAAGAAAGACTAAACAAAACAGAAAACGGGTAGAAATAATACATACATTCAGAAAAAAAATAAACAGTAAGAAATCATTGTCCTTTTACAAATAGTTTTTCAAGATACAAAAGTGGAACATGTAAAGTGGGAATTCAAACAGTGAGACTGCAAACAGTTCTGTTCAACTATCCAACAAAAACTTAGTAATATGGTTGTTAATCCTATACACTTAAACGTACATGCAGTTATCCATATATTCATTTATGTTTAGATTAAACAAACTAAAGCAGGCTAAAGTCATTCTGAACAAAGAATAATAGTATTGCTGGATTTCACATCATGACACTCTGGGATCAGCACTGGGTACTGTACTGTCTTTTTAAAAAAAATTTTATTTAAAGAAAGACTAAATAAAACAGAAAATGGGTAGAAATAATACATACCTTCAAAGAAAAAAATAAACAGTAAGAAATCACTAGTTGATTACAGATTGTCCTCTTACAAATAGTTATTCACAATACTAAAGTGGAGCATATAAAGTGGGGATTCAAACAGTGAGACTGCAACCAGTTCTGTTCGACTATCCAACAAAAACTTAGAAATATGGGTATCAATAAGGAGTTTTACCATAGTTCCTGTGTTGTCTCTTGCTATCTTCAGTATAACCGGCTATATCATCAGACATAGTATAACTGAATATATCAGTACATAACACTATTAATAAAAACACAACTTTGTATACAGTATAAAACTTCAAAAACAGGCAGTTATCAAACCAGAATGTGTATCGTAGTGAGTCTTGTCATCTTCAGTGTAGTTGCCTATACTCTCAGACTTGATACTATCAATCATATCAGTTTTGAATAAAATTTGTTGATACCAAACAGCAATCAAACAAACCAAATTTAACTAAGATCAGTCATGATAAAACAGTATAAGTCATACAGGGCTCCAGATTAAGATAATAGGAAATTACAGATGATTACTGTGCTATATCCTGATGTTTTAGGGATAGCTGTCTGTGCCCTCAAATCTAATTCAAGTAAACAAACTGGGACAGAATAAAATCTATCTAAGCAGAGGGGTGCAAGTAATGTGGGTTTTAAATCCTGATACACTATTAACAGGTGTATCAGATCTGCCATCTGATATATTAACAGATCTGCCATCTGATATATTAACAGATCTGCCATCTTTGTTAAGATTCTCCCTCCTCTTTCAGTTCCTCAGGGTACACTGTACATTTCTGGGTCTCACCAGGACCCTTGGTTTTAAATTGGCGGGGGGAGGGACCTGCTATTTACCTAAGTGATTCCAAACCTTCTCTCGCCTGGACTTGATCTCTAATTGTGTTCCTTTACCTATTAAAGCCTGTCTTTCCAACCTATCCACAAATACTGGTCTAGTTGCTCCTATTACTCTCTGGTTCTCTGTCACATAGAGCATTGTTTTCTCATATTTGATTTTCACTCCATGTACTCTTTTTCATGTTAATTATATTTCCTATAAATAGCTTCTCAGTGGACCCTACCTCCTGATCTACTCCATGTATGGTTCTTTTATTTTTAATTTAGCATATCAAGGCCATCTATATTAGACATTATAACTAACCTTCTCTGCCTCATTTCTGTTATGCTCTTTTTTTGCCATCAGTTGTCTGCTTATCTTCTTCATTCTGTTTTCTGCACCATTCATTGAGGCCTCTCTGCCACTGTTCCTGGAATCCTAGTACTTTTCTCTCTCTCTAGAATTCCCTGCATCTAGAATGCTCTCTGTAGAGTTGGATTGGTAGTTGCGAATTTCCCAAGTTCCTCTTTATCTTGGAAGCATCTTGTTTCTCCATTAATTTCTAGAGACAGTTTTGCAGGGTATATCAATCTGGGTTGGAGGTTATTTTCTTTCAGGGCTTGAAATATTTCGCTCCAGGCTCTTCTTGACTTGTTGGTTTGTGTCAAGAAGTCTGCCATGATTCTGATGGGCCTTCCTCTATAGGTTATCTGTGGATTTCTGGAATCTTGACTGTTATATGCCCGGGCATAGCTCTGTTTTGGTTGTAGGTGGCTGGAGTTCTGTATGCCTCATATATCTGTATATCATTTCCTTTTCCTATGTTTGGGAAGTTTTCCTTAATAATTTCTGTGAGTAACCTTTGTAGTTCCTTTGTTTGTATGCTGGCTTGTTCATTCACATTCTTTATTCTTAAGTTATAGATCCTCTTGTTGTCTTCTAGCCTTTGTATTGTTACTGCTTGATTCCTTGTTATTTTAAAAAAGTTTTTCCTTTCATACTCCCACATTGCAAAACTGTCCTCCAGTTTGGATAATGTTTCCTTAGTTTCTTTCAAGCTAATTTGCCATCTTTCCATTGAGTTTTTAATTTCCTGGTGATCTCTTTGAATCTACTTCATGTATTCTATCTTTTTTTATATTCTTCATCAAATGGTTCTCTCCTTTGTTTGAGTTCTTCCCTTTTTCCATCTGTGTCTGCTTTAGAGGTGCTTAGTATCTCTTATTAATCTTCTTATATCTTGCCTTATTTGACTAAATATTTCACTTTTGACCTTGTTCATCTATGAGGTCCTGAAGCTATCTCTTTATGTCCACTGGTGCCGTGTCTGATATTGCATGTTTGCTGTTCTTATTCTCCTTTGTATTACCTGTCCTGGGTCAATGTTCTCAGGGTTGGGACCTGGGGACTTCTTGTTGTTGCATACTTTTCCCATCTTTTTTGCTTCTTCCAGGAGACCCCAGTTTCTTTGTTGGTTACAGTTCTTCTGAAGTGCACTGGCTAGGTGACCCTTCACACTCTATATACATTCTTATGCTTTTGTGTAATCTTCAAATTTTTTGCTTACTCCCATTAATCTTAGTCTTCATGTCTTCTATTAGCTGATGGATTGATTTTTCTTGTTCTCTTGTTGTTTTTAAGGTATATTTGAGTAGTTAGACTTTGAAAGCATTCTTGTCTTCTAATTTTGACATAGTGTTCTCATATTTGTCTCTTTTATTCCCCATATTTTCAATATAATTTTTAATCTCCTGGATTTCTGATTGAAATCTTTCCATGGACTCTGATTCTTTGCTACATGGGCATTCATGTTTTGTGTAATTTTTGTTTAGCTCAGCTAGGTTTTCATTAGTGTCTCCTGAACACTTCCTGGTCCTGTAGTTTATTGGTTTCATTATCTGTTTGGTTATATCTGGTGTAATCCCTTTGAGCACGTCTTTGATGTGTTTTTTTTAATCTTCTCTGTTATCCTTTCAAATAATTTGGCTGTGTGGCTTTTGGCATTTTCACCCTTAGTTGCCTCAGGTGGGCTTTGAGGTAGTTGGAAGTTTTGGAAGCATTTTATTTTGGAAGCCTTGCCTTCTCATGTTTCTTTTGTTTTTGTTTGTGTGTTTTGTGGTGGGATTCGTGGCCCCAACAGTGTGAAGATTTTCTTGCTTGTATTTAGCTAGCTTCTTTAGTCTTTATAGTAATGTACTTTGAGTGTGGCTAACTTTTATTCTTTGCCTCTGTCCTAGGATCTGCCCCTTTTAATTTGGGAGGGGACGATGCAGTACATTTTGCCCAACTATCAGTTCTTTGGGAATGGACTGCAGTACTATTAATGTCACAAAGATAATCTGGGTGTTGGTGCATGGAAAAATACATTAGTAGCAACAATTATGTGGCCTTGTCCATATACATAGAACAAATCAGCTATAGTAGTATTGTCTGAGATAAATTAGTTATTGACATACCATAAGAACAATAATGTACCTCCCTTAACCAAAGGAAAGAAATCTATTACAGTATAAACACTAAGACAACCCAGATACTACATATAGTTAATAGGTACTAAATGTGACAGTTATATCTCAAATAATAGTAGAATAAAATTCAGTGATAATTATGTAGAATTAACTATCTGATGATTCATAGAGTTTTACTGTTATATTATTGAAGATACAGGGAGTTGGGAACTACAGAATGCAACATGAAAATTTGAAAACTTGTACTATATGAGTTGAGAAAGAGGAGAGAGAAGTGAGACAAGGAATTTTGTTAGAGAACGGAAAGATAGAAACTTAGGTAAAGCAAATAGAAAAACAAATAAGGGATATAAGAGAAAAGAAAAACAGAATGAAATAATGTGGTTAATAAAAAAAAGAAGTAAAGAAAAAGAGAGATTGGGCTGGGAATTTAGCTCAGAGGCACCGGTGCTTTCCTGGCAAGTGAGAAGTTGTGAGTTTGATCCTGTGTGTGTGTGTGTGTGTGTGTGTGTGTGTGTGTGTGTGAGAGAGAGAGAGAGAGAGAGAGAGAGAGAGAGAGAGAGAGAGAGAGGAAGAAGAAGGAGGAGGAGGAAAAGGGGAAGAAGGGGAAAGGGAAAGGAAAGGAGAAGGAAAGGAGAAGAGAAGAGAAGAGAAGAGAAGACAGAACAGGAGAGAGGGAGAGAGGGAGAGAGAAAAGGAAAAAAGGAATTAAAAAACAAACAGGGACAAAGTACAAAGGAAAACTCCCCAAACTGCAGTAAACCTGTGAAGAAGAAAAAGGAAAGGAAAAAAGAAAGTTCAAAAAAAATTTCTTAGTGATGGATTTTTTTTTGTTTTGTTTTGGGTAGAGGTTCTATAAGCAAAGGGAAAATACATGGACACACACACCAAGGGTCAGCAAAATGGCTGCTGCCCGACCAGTGAAAGCAAGCAGCTTTTATTTTGATAAAGAGCAAAAAAACTTGTTTGCTTCTTGTTCTTATGGAACCTCATGCTTTTATCTTGATGAGATGTTTCAAGGCCTGTACTTTCTACCAAAACACTGTCAACTGATGTGTCTGGACAAAATGGAGTTAATGCAGCCTCTATATAGTTTTTTTTTTTTTTTTCTTTTAAGACAGGGTCTCCTTGTAGTTCAGGCTGGCCTTGAACTCCTGATGGCTCTCCTGGGTCAGCCTGTCTAATACTGGATTATAGGTGTGTAGTACTTTGCCTGGCCTCTGTATCTTTGAATGAGTGGTTTCCTTTTGGGATCCCAGTTTTGGAGTCTAGCAATTCTCAATTTTGTCCACCTAGCCTGAAGACCTGTGGCATTTCAAGGTGCCCTCCCCATTCCTCAGGCCCCTGTGCTTACCCAGGCGGTGGCAGTGTTTAACCTGGATTGTGTCCCTACCCATGCCAGTAAGCAAGGAAGACACTCAAACTCTAGATCTGGGTTGGATGCAGGCAGGAGGGTGAGGCTTCAGGAACTCCATGCCAACATTTTCAGACCAAGAGCAACTGAAGCTGGACTCAGTTTTTGTGGAGGAGGTTTTATTATGTGACCAAATATCTGAGGAAAGCAACTTAAAACAAGAAAGATTTCTTTTGGCTCCTGGATTCAGAGGTTGGCCAGCTCCATTGGTTTTAGGCCTATGTCAAGGCAGAAACATTTTGACCGAAGTGTGTGGCAGGGGAAAGCTGCTCACCTCATGGCGGGTAGGAAGCAGGGGGAAAGGGAAAGAGCCAGAGGTGAAGAGCACTGCAGACAAGATGCCACCTCCAGAGGTCAGTGGCCTCCTCCTTGCACCTGGGCCCTACTCTAGTAGTGCATCCAGCTATGAATTCATCAGTGAAGCAATGGGTTTAATCCATTATGAATTCGGTTGTTTAGTGATCACATCACTTCTTTCGGTCCCACCCTAGCACACTGCTGCAGTGGAGATCAAGTCCTGAATATATGAAGTAAGTCTGGGGGATACTTCATATTTAAGTCATAATAGGAGATGTTACCATGTGATTTTTCATTTTAGGTGTCTGTAAGTTTTAAAATTTATTTTGTCAACTTATGTTATTAGTCATTTGCTTTACATTTTTGTATTTTTCAAAGTACATTTCTATTATCTGGACATTTATTAATAATAGTTAATTCTGTAGGGAAAGAAAAGAAACTTTTCCTTTGCTTTCTTATGTTCTGCAGCTGGAGTCTGCTAAATAAGTTGATATAGCTGGACAGGAAAAAAGATATATAAATGTTATTTAACAGTAATATTTTAATTTTTATGTGTTTGGAAGTCTTCATAAAAAAGTAGAGACTTAAGAAGTTGTTAGACTGATACTATTTTAACAAATGTCAGTAAGTCAGTAAGTCATGGAGAAGTGATGTGGCAAATGAAAAAGCGTTTGATCTTATAGGGTTAGTAAATCATGAGAAATAATGGAAGGGAAGGCTACATAAGGGAAATTCTATGTTCTACTTTTAGTTTTAGGCAGATGGGGGACAGGACAGAGAGCTCTTTCTGTTGCTTTGTAATTACCTTTACCTCAAATTAGTATTTATACAAAATAGTATATTTTGGGGTAGTATATCCTGATTTCTTTCTATTCAAAATTCAAAAAATAAAAGCAGTTCTCTGACCAAAACTACCATATCATAACTATCACATGTTAGCTCTTTATAAAGAAGACATCTTAAATTCTCTTTAGCAGGTTCTTAAGGAACTGTTTTAGAATCTTGAAAATATGTGGTTTTGTTATAGGTGAGAGTATCTTAATTTGTAAGAACTCTGAGAAATCAAAAGGCATAGCCCTACTTCAAGGATCCTTAAAACCTGTTTGCAGTTGTCTACAAAGACAAGACGGAGAAATAACTGCCAGTATGATCCGAGCTATTCTGGAAGTAAGAGTTCATTTTCTTTTTTACAGCTGCATTAAATCAGTAAAACTTTAGTATGTGTGTTTTTAAAATGAGATCATTACAGTATGGCCTTTGTAAGTCTGAGTCTGTTTATATGAATATGTGAGCATGCAGCTGTTACTAGAATGAAACACAGCTAATGGTATAATATTCTATTTCAAACAGTGGTCAAAGATGATTCTTTAAATTTTACAGATTTTTTTTAATTTTAAAAAAAGATGACAAAATAGACCATAGTTTCTCCATCCATATAGTACTGTTGAGGTTAAAATAAAATCAAGGAACAAATAAACATGACTGAACCTTTACAACAACAGAGAAAAACATAAAGTGACAAAAATAAGTGACTCTTCTACTTAGAGTCCTCAAAGATTACCCTTGTTTAGCATTTTAACTGTGCATTCAGGAAAAAAACCTTTTATCTATTAGCATGGTTTGGTGGTGGTTTCAGTGCTAGTGGTAGAGATACTGGTCCTTTTTTTACCTATACATTTTTCCCTTTGTCAATTTGAAAAAAAGTTAAAATATTTGATGATATTATTTGAGGAAGAATGTTGAAAGTAGTCACTTTCATATACTGCTGAAGCTCTTTTGAAGGCAACTTCACTGTATCTACTAAAATAAAAAAAGCACCTAGTCATTTGTCTAGCTGATGGATAATGATTCATTTATTTTCATTTATAAGAAAGTATTGCATCTACTTTTTGTTGTTGTTTTTAAAGACAGGGTCTCGTTACATAGTTGAGGATGTTCTTGAACTATATATATAGTGAATATATAGCTCAGGATTACCTTGAATCAGCTGTCATCATCCTGCCCATTCTCCCAGTAGCTCAGATTACATGTGTGCACCACCACACACAGCTTACACCTACTTGTAAGGAAAACTTCATATTGCCAGCATCTGTTCTGTACAGTTGGTAACAAGTAATAAAGCAAGAGTTATCTAAGAGTGTGTACATAAGTTTCTGAGAATCTTTTAATACATATTATGAAGACCTGCATGTCTTATAAAAAAGCTACAGATCTGTGCACTCTGGGAGGCTGAATTGGGAGGATTGCAAATTTGTGCCCATGTTGGGCCATTTTGAAGGCACTGCCTTAAAATAAATAATGAAAACAAAAGACTGCAAAAGACCTGGGTTCAATCCCCAGGAGTGAAAAAACAAGTTACAGAAATTTTTGAACATTTCTAACAGATCATAGTTGGTGGAGTGGCAAGTACATCACAAGACATACAGATTTATGCTTCTTGCACGTTTTTGGCTGCAAGTATGACAAAAGAGAAGCAGAGAATTCAGAAAAATCAAGATTCTGTTCAACTTGGAGCAATTGAAGCTTGTGTGATGTGGCTACTGGAAAATGAATTTATTCAGATTATAGAAGACAGAAATGGGACAGAAGGTAAATGTGGATTCTTAGTTGCAACTTACTCTTTCATCTTTCACTCAGTTGTTTTCGTATTACTCATAAACTTTGCACATTTGAGTAAGAGTGTAAGATTGGTCAGAGCTGCGGTTAACTATAGAGTACGGAAAGAGCATATTTCTTTTCTTATTTTTAATAATTGTTGTCTATTTCCCAACCCCAAACCAGGAAATGTGTATCATCCAACACATCTGGGTACAGCTACTCTTTCTTCTTCACTTTCTCCAACTGATACCTTAGATATTTTTGCTGACCTTCAAAGAGCAATGAAGGGCTTTGTTTTAGAGAATGACCTTCATATTGTCTATCTGGTAAGTTCGTTTAACTGCTATATTTGTGAAATAAGGAGAAGAAATATAAATAGACTCGGCCATCAAAGATACTTAATGGAATGTCTTGCTTGTTTTGGAGCAGAGAATTATTTCCATTGGTAAACTAATTGCTCTAGTGACGTTTTCCTCTACTGTATTTTCTCCCGCATCCTTTCGAAAAGTATTTTGAGGCAGATCCTAAAAATATTTATTTTAGAACATATACAAGGATAGAAAAGGACAGTAGTAACAGAAAATTAAAGATAAATCATAATGTAGAACTCATGCACATGTTAATCAAGCATACTATTAGGTCACATTACGTTGCTCTTGCCAGCTTCAGTTCTGAATTTCTTAGCTACTAAAGCAAAGAGAGACACTTAATTGGCTTCAATATTTTTAAGGTAAAAAGTAGTGGATTTTCCTTTCTGAGAGAAATTTAGACCTAAAGTGATAATCTGTGACATATTTTTGATAGAATCTCTGTAAGAAATATAACTAGAAATTTTGTTCGTTTACATTACATAGTCTTCTATCAATACAATAAAGATTTTGATGAGTTGGATAGAGCTTGAGGTTATATTTTTTTACAAGAGCCTGTCCAGAAATTATTTGTTCATTAAGAACAGATTCATGTACTTTGGTAAGCAAATAATGGGTGATAAAATTGAAAGTTACCTTAGAGTGAAGAAGACTTATCAGGAAATCTACTTCAATAAAAAACACTATAGAGAGCAGAGGGGAAATGTCTAGATTGCCATTTTTTTCCTTTTATAGTTGATTTTAAATAAATTAAGAGAATAAAAAGGAATTATGCAATTATACATCTTTTATGTGTACTCAGAGTTATCTTTATCAGCTCTCTTTTTCTGTGCAATTGCTATTTGGGGTTATTTGATTTCAATCTGAAGAGCTCTTTTAGCATGTAAGTCGTTTGCTAGCAAATTTTCCTGAATTCATTTGTCTAGGAACTGTTCTGATATATCTTTAGTTTTTTGATTGTTTTGTTTTGTTTTTATTTTTATATTCTTTTTTTATTTAAAGGAGAAAAAAAACAAAACAGTTTAAGGGTACAAGTAATACAGAATTTCAAAAAAAACAGTAAGAAATCACTAGTTAATAGATTACACATTGTCATCTTAGAAATAGTTGTTCAAGTTATAGGATTAAAGCATACAAAGTGGACATGCAGACACTGAGACTGCAAACAGTTGTGTTCAATGACCCAACAAAAACTTAGTAATATGGTTATCTATCTTAACACACCTAAACACATTTGCAGTTGTATCCTTTAGAACACTTTTTTTCCCCCCTCTCCTTTTTACAGCAATATTTACACATTTTGGGTTTTATTACTCCCATAGTTCTTATTACTTTTTTTTGGAAGAGAATAAAACCAAATATGACAAAACAAAGCAGTCAGATATGTTTTTATTTTTGATATTGGGAATTGAACTCAGGACCTCCTAGTTGTGAGGTAGGCACTATGCTGTTGAGCTATATACCCAGCCCAATGTCTTTAGTTATGATAGCTTACCTTTATATAAAATTCTTGTCTGATAGATTTCTTTCTCTCTCTTTCTTTCTTTTTTTTTTCTTTTAGCAGTTTTAATCTGCCTTCTCCTTTCATTTTGGCCTCCGTGGTTTCTGATGAGAAGTTAACTTTTTTTTTTTTTTAACTTTTTATCGGTGCAGGGATCGAACTCATGACTGTCCACTTGCAAGGCAGGTGCATATGCCGCTGAGCTAAAATCCCCAGCCCCAAGAGAAGTTAACTTTTAATCTTACTGGGTTCTCATTGTTTATAGTGCTTGTTTTTTCCTTTCTGCTTTCAAGATTTTCTTTTCCTTTAGTGTGTAATATTTTTATTACGATCCATCTTGGTGTGGACCTCTACATTTATCCACTTAGAGTTCATTGAATTTCTTGGATAATGTAGATTGATATTTGTCATCAAATTTGGGACATTTGTTAGCCTTAATTCCTTCAGATACTTTTTCTGTTCCTTTGTATTGCTTTATAGATTACTTATATGTATGTTGGCATAACTGATGTTTCCCATGTCTCTCCAGGGCTCTTTTCACTTTTCCTTCCTTCTCTTTGAAATTGTGTAATCTCTACCAATCTCTCTTTATGCTTCCTTATGTGTGTGTGTGTGTCCTTTTTGAAACAGGCTTTCACTATGCAGTTCAGGCTGGTGTTGAATTCACTTTGTTGCCCATGCTGGCCTCAAACTTGTGATGGTCCTGCTGCTTCAGCCTCCCAAGTGCTGCCATTACAGGTGCCTGGCCAGTGCTTGCTAATTCTTAATCATACAAGTTTGTATGTATTGTTTAACTCTAATTATTCATTTAAATTACTATTTGTTAACCTCTAAACTTCATTTGATCTGATCCCAAATTTCATACTATCCTCTTTATGCATTTTCTCTGTTTAATGAGACAGGCTATCATGCTTTTTACTTCTAAACCTGGCTTTCTTTGATTCTTTGACAGTTTTATAATGTCTTCCTTGATGTTTTTGTTTGCTTATATTGAATCTGGACTCTTTTTGTTGAATCCTGAACATTTTAGATAATATATTAGCTCTGAATATTGGTTTATCCTTTTTTCTTCTCTTCTTTCTATTTTAGTGATTCTTTCTTGGAAGTTAGAATACTTAAAATTGTACCTAGAATTGGAATATAGAGATAAAAAGTGACTATGATTAAAGATTTGAGTATTATAAAATCCAGTTTGTATGCTTGGTAGTTTCTTTCTTTTGACTATTTATACTATTTATACTATTTATCTATTTATACTTGTGACTCTTTTGTAATGAAGTGGTTCTCCCTTTCATTGGTCGGGCATTTTTGGTGGGGCCAGTGACTGCACCCAGAGGCTCATGCATGTTAAGCAAGCCCCATCCCATGGGATCAGATCCCTCACTCACTGTGAGGTGACAGTGTTACTGACTCATGATGCTGCTCTCCTTTTGTAGGTTACACCTATGTTTGAAGATTGGACGACTATTGATTGGTATCGATTTTTTTGTTTGTGGGAGAAGTTGCCAACTTCTATGAAAAGGGTAGCAGAGCTGGTGGGAGTTGAAGAAGGGTTCTTGGCTCGCTGCGTGAAAGGAAAAGTAGTAGCCAGAACTGAGAGACAACACCGACAAATGGCCATCCACAAAAGGTAAATGCCAAGGAGCCTGCACTCTGGCATTTAACACAGCATCGGTGTACACAGATGTCCAGTGTATTATAGTCACTTTCATTGTCAAAAAACGTACAGCTTTGGCTGACTGTAGTACAATTTTTCAGTTTCTTGTATTTACTGAGTTTATTGATATTTGAGTTTTTTTTTTTACAGTTTATAGTTTAGCACTTGTTTATAGGAGGCTCTTTTAAAGTAGAATTTTTAATTATTTTCCTTCCTTAAAGATGTGAATCAGAACTGCTAGTTTATTGTAGCTTCGTTTGAGATTGTGTTTTCTAGCAGTTTTAGCTATATGTCAGTACCAGCAAGGAAATGATAAACAAAAGATACAAATGGAGCTGGGGATAGTGGTTTATGCCTATAATCTCAGCAGTCTAGGGGCATGAGGCAGGAGGATCACAAGTCTGAACCCAACCTGGGCAATTCAGTGAGTTGTGAGACCCTGTCTTAAAAATGAAATGACATAAAATAAAATAAGTGCTGGGGAAATATGGCTCAGTATAAAATCCGTGGGTTTAATCCCCAGTCCTGATAAAAGGAGAAGGAAACAAAAATCAAATGGGAAAATTGGTACAACTATGTACCTTCTTTGAAATATAGCAAAATTTTTTTTATAGTACAATATTTACAATACAGACAAATATACATTTTATAAGGATTTATACCCTTGGATTACTTATATCAGTGTTGCCTTTCAAATTAAAATTATTTTATAATGAAGGTCAGTCATTTTATTGAAATATAATTAGATGGTCATATAACTATCTTTTAGATATTTTAAATCTTTGTGTCATCATGTTTCTTCAATCACATCTTATTTATTGAAATTAATTAGCAGTACTGAAATATGAGGTCTTTGTTGTTGGTACACTGATGCTAGTTCTTTTTTTAAAATTTTTTAATTTTTTGATGCTAGTTTTTACTTTTTAAAAAATTTTTTTATTTTTTGATGCTAGTTCTTTGCTCCACTGCTGCATGTCAAAACTTACTTTATCATTATCCACTGTTATGGTTTGAGTCTGGATGTCCCCCCAAAGCTTCATGCAGTCAGGGAGATGGGCTTCTGTAGTTCATGAATGACTCATGGTCCAATGCTGGGATTATGGGCGTTAGTGCCCAAGTGGGTGTGGCCTACATACCAATATAAGGGACACAAAGAGTCTTGTCTCTGTGCCTCCCCTTTTGCTCTTGTTGTTTGTGCTATTTTCTTCTGCCTTGAACTGTTGCCATCTGCCGCATGCCACCCTTCCTTGGAGCCAGCTGATTATGGGCTGAAACCTCCACAAACTGTGAGCTAAATAAACCTTACCTTCCTTCATTTGGGGTGTCAAGTATTTTGTCTCAGCAATGAGAGAAAAGTAACCAACACATCTATCAAACCTATTTCCTTTTGGAGTCCTCAGAGTGTATAAACTGTTACCTTATTAGTTCTTAGTCATTTGGAAATACACATTGTACTTTCCTATTGATATCTTACCATATTTCGGTGATTTATTTTTAGGTTTTTCACCAGTCTTGTGCTATTAGATTTAATCAGTGAAATTCCCTTGAAGGAAATTATTCAGAAATACGGTTGTAATCGTGGACAGATCCAGTCTTTGCAACAGTCAGCTGCTGTTTATGCAGGTTAGTCAATCAAAGGTTTCACATTTATTTCAGTCTGTGTGGTTTGAGATCATTAAGATTACTCTTCCTCAATTTCCATTATATTGTAAGCTTCTCTAAAATTGTCATTTCATAATCTCTGTTATTATCACATCTAAATCAATAGTCTCTCTGAGCCCAGTCCTCTTTAGAGATAAGGCGACAAGCTGTCTGGATCTCATTCCCCTCCATTCCTGAGCAACCTGCTGACTCCCACCAACTCCAGTCCTTTCTGTTGCAAGAAGTAGCCAAATTCTCAGTGGTCTCTTTTCTCAAAGTACTGATTAATACAATGAGAAGAGTAATGGCAGAGATAGAAGTATTTGTGGACTCTTGTCTGAATGTTTTCATTATTTATTTATTTTTTAAAATTTTATTTAAAAGGAAAAAGAGAAAAAACAAAACAAAGCAGTGTAAGGGTACAAGTAATACAGAACTACAAAAAAAAAAAAACAAAAAACAAAACAAAAAAAAACAGTAAGAAATCACCAGTTAATAGATTACACATTATCATCTTAGAGATAGTTGCTTAAGTCACAGTATCAAAGCATACAAAGTGGACATTTAAACAGTGAGACTGTAAACAGTTGTGTTCAATGATTCCACCAAAAACATTAATATGGTCATCTATTTAACATTCCTAAACACACTTGCAGTTGTATCCTTTAGAACACTTTTTTTCCCTCTCTTTTTTACAACACAGTTTACACATTTTGGGTTTTATTACACCTTAGTTCTTATTACTTTTTTTTTTTGGAAGAGAATCAAGTCAAATATGGCAAAACAAAGCTGTCAGTCAAAACCAAGGATAGACATAGCACATGATGTAAAAACAGAGTACAAGGTTATCAACAATGGTTACCATATTGCCTCTTGCTTCCTCAAAAAGAATTGTCTATCTCATTAAGTATTATAAAGTTGAACAAAACAGTAGAGAACAAGACCAATAAAACCTAAACCTTGTAAACATTACAGGACTTCCAAAGAAGATAATAGTCAAACCAGAATGGGCATCGTAGTGAGTCTTATTGCCTTCAAAATAATTGCCTATATCCTCAAACTTGATACTATCAGACAGAATGGAACAGAGTCTAATCAGTCAAAACAAGATAGTGGGAGTATTACAGGACTTCAGATCAAGTTAATAGGAAATCAAAAATGTTACTATAATATATCCTAATTTTTTCCCCTTAATTAAAAAATCATAAAAAAATAACTAAATAATTTTTTTAATGAATAAGGGAGAGATTGAGATAAAAGAGGACACAACAACATAACAATACAGGTCAAAGCATGACAGTTTCAGCAACCTAGTGCTTCACCACCAAATAACCCGACTTAATAGTAGTTACCATAGTGTCTTTTTCGTTGAAATATTTGAATATAACTTCATATACTATAGATTCAAATATATCAAGTCAGTGTAAAACCATTCAAGTGGATGAAAGCATTGTAGGGTACTTAGAACCAGCTAACAGAAAACAAACAATGGTTTCTATATTATCTCTTTGCCTATAACAATTTTTGTTTATACTATCACATATAATAAAATCCAGCAAGATACATCATGATAAAACCAGTGGAGTCAGAAGAACCATAGTTTGGTGGGGCTTCAAAATAAGATGATAGTAAATCAGCACTAGCTATTATGATGACTTATTTTCTTCAAAATAGCTGTTCATTTCATCACAGACAATAATATCAAGCAGCCCAGAATAAAGCCATTCCAATTAATAAGTGAAAACTTTATAAGGCTTCAAGGCCACATAATGGGGAATCATGATTACCACATACTTTTATATATTTGAATCATTACTTACATTAGGGAAACTATTTGGTATTCACACATGCGAGATTGATTTATTTCGTTTATGAGTATGGTCTCAAGCTGTGCGCATTTATTGATAAATATCTCAATGTGATCCTTGCTTATAGCTGAGTAATACTCCATTGTATAGAAATACCACAACTTTTTCATGCACTTCTCAGTTGATGGGCACTGTTTTAATTATTTCTTCTCTTAAGAAGTGCTAGTTAATTTCCCATTTGACTACCACATTTTCTCCTGTGATAGATTTTAGTGGCTATGCTTATGGGATAGATGAAAGTTGCCATGATCTGAAGAGGGAGGGCTTTTCAGTGCCCTCCTCCTATATGGAATGGCTGAACAGAAGAAAAAAAAAAAAAAAAAAAAGAAGTGCTAGTTTAAAAAAAAGAGCAGCCGCAGCACTGTTGTGCCATGATATGTGAAACCCATATCCTCCAAACTGAGCAAACAGGAAATTCTGGGTCTAGATTTATTAAGGGATCATTCAAGCCATTAGGAAGGAAATGCTGGGCTCCTAGAAGCTGTGTGTATTTAAATGTGTAAGAGTTTTGCTGTGAAGCTGTGTGTTTGTGAGGGAGTACAGAGGGAATGGCGGGGCAGAGGGCGGAATGAATCGAGGGACTCATCCCTTGATATCAAAGGTCTGAGACTTCATGTAGGGTTAATGTGACTTTCCTAATGACCTTGCAGTTGGATGCCAGCACTCTTTTTTCAAGAGCGTGTTGTTGCTGAACTGGGTGAAGTTTCTTTGAAGAAAATATAGCATGGGAACTTCACTTTAGTAGCTCTCAGTGTTTGAATATTTAAATCAGCTCTCATTTTCTTCTAATTTAAAATAACACCTTTACCTGTTTTATTAGAGTTCTTTCTTAAAAAAGTAAGAAAGGGAGGAAGTGAAAAGAAGGATGGGCTAAGATTATGTTTTTTCATTTTGTATTTATATGTTCCACCTCAGTTTTCAAATGGTAAGTTTAGAATTAAGAATAAAAGAGATGCCATGTAATATGTTTAGCACATTTATTATCCCACTATCAAGGCCCTCATTATGTGTCTGCTTCCCAATAACTTATCCCTTGAACCTTGTTAAACCTTAAAATTCTGCAGGAAAAAAACAAATCCCAATATCATGTATCTAAGAAATGGAGAACTGATTCATAAGAAATTTTTAATTTGACACTTATTCTGTGAATGTTCTAGGGATGATTACAGTGTTTTCCAACCGTCTTGGCTGGCACAACATGGAACTGTTGCTTTCCCAGTTTCAGAAGCGTCTTACCTTTGGCATCCAGCGGGAGCTGTGTGACCTGGTCCGGGTGTCCCTACTTAATGCGCAGAGAGCCAGGGTCCTCTATGCTTCTGGCTTCCTTACTGTGGCAGATCTTGCTCGGGCAAATGTTGCTGAGGTGGAGGTGGTTCTGAAAAGAGCTGTGCCCTTCAAAAG